CTGCTTCTCCCTCTGAACCTCCTCCCTCTCATGCTCTCTGTCTCTCACTCTCTCTCTCTCTCAAATAAATATATAAAATCTTTAAAAAAAAAAAAAAAAAAGAATAGTATGAGAACCGTTTTTTGCATTTGAGCACTGGAGAATAGCTGCCAAGGAGAGGCATCCCCCCGCGGAGCTATAAATTCATCGTTTGTGAGAACCGTCAGCACTAAGGAACAAGGGGCCCCTCGTGGGGGCAAGGGGGCCGATCTTGTCCAGCACAGCGGGGGTGCGGTGGGAAGGGCAGGACGATCGTCACAGGACTGAAACCCTTGTAAATGGAGCCCCAACTCAGGAGAGGATAAGGAATTGGCAGGAGAGAGACTCGAGAAATTGAAGCCCACGAATCTCTCAAAATCAACAAATGATGTGAAGCCCGTGAATGCTGGTGAGGCCCTAGCAGGAGGCATCCATAAGGACCCTCACACCCAGCGAGCTCACAGCCAAGTCCTGAAAACCAATGTCAAGAGCAAAATCTCAAAAGCAACCAAAGAAAAAAGATGCATTATCCTGGGGAGTAATGACTGGACCGCTAGCCACCTTTGCAAAGGAGCAGGGCCTTCCACGGAGCTGGCCACAAAACCCACGAGCACGGCCTTCCACGGAGCTGGCCACAAAACCCACGAGCACGACCTTCCACGGAGCTGGCCACAAAACCCACGAGCAAAGAAACGAAACCTGCAAGCCCGGAATTTTATACATAGCAGAAACATCCTCAACAAACGGAGGGCATATAAAAATGGCAACAAGACGGGACCGACTCTGCCATATTAAGACAGGTTGTAAAGCCGAGACGCCCAAGCAAGTTCCTTACGTGAACCGGCCAAGCGTCGAGCAGGGAGTGCAGCTCACGGCCCCCCGGGAGGAAGCGGGTTGTGACAGCAGCGTCTTTCTCGCCAGGGGAGTACCTGCACGCTCCCTGAAGGAGGCCAGGGGGGACGGATGGGGCAACATGGAGACGTCTGGGGGCAGAGCAGCCAACCCAGCCATTGTTCTGGAGCGAGGGCCGGCAGGCTGGGGCCTCGCGCTTCCAGGAACCCTTTTTGTCCATTTTGAATTTTCCATCACATACGTGTGTTTCCTGTTAAAAAAAAAAATACAATTTCAAAACATGCTATGGTGCCCGTGGCCTCACTCCCTGGAAGGGATGGAGGGAGAGTGGGACCCAGACCCTTGGTGGCACCACTGACAGCCGAGCCGGCCCCACAGAGAACCCCGTCCGCTGGGCCGGCGCTGGGCCGCGGCTGATCCACTCTGTCTCTGGACCTGCCTATTCTGATGCTGCCTGGAAAGCAAGCCACGCGTCTGTGGTCCTCCGTGGCGGGCTGTCCCGTGGAACAGTGCGCCGCCGGGGATCCTCCACACTCCGGGGGTGCCAGGGTGCCGTCTGTCTTTACTGCCAAGCCGTGCTCCTCTGTGTGGATCCCCGCGGTTCCCACACCGCCTGTCAGTTTGTGGTCATTGGGGTGTTCCTACTTTTCGGCTAGTAAAATAATTTTGGTGTGAACACTTACGCATCTTGTATGGATATGTGCTTTCACTTCTCATGGGTATACACCTAGGAGTGGACAGTACAAGGTCTGTTTGTACTTTTATTCCTCCAAACTAGATTTATTCTCCTTAACCACTCTTCGTTACAATTTTTCTCTTGTGGTAAAATGCATAACATAAAGTTTTCCATCTAAACCATTTTTAAGTGTGCGGTTCCGTGTACTGAGCTCATTCACACACTCGTGCAGCTGCCACCACCCTCCCCTCGCTGGACCTCTGTCCCATGAAATACCCCGTTCCCGCCCCCCAGCCCCCGGCCCCCACCGTCCCACGTCCCGTCTCTGTGAGTTTGATGGCTCCAGGTACCCCGTATCAGTGGAATCATGCAGTATTTGCCTTTTTGTAACGGCTGATTTCACTCAGCATAACGTTTGCCAGGTGCATCCATGCTGTAGCAGGTTCCGTAATTCCTTTCCTTTTTATTGATTTATTTACTTACTTTTAAGATTTTACTTATTTATTTGAGAGAGAGAGCACGTGAGAGAGCACACACACAGGCAGGGGGAGCGACAGAGAGAGAGAAGCAGACTCCCCGCAGCGCAGGGAGCCCGATGCGGGGCTCGACCCCAGGACCCTGGGACCATGACCTGAGCCAAAGGCAGACGCTTAACGACTGAGCCACCCAGGCGCCCCTGCCCTGGCGGTTCTTACTATGACGGCAAGACGCACCTCGGCCACAGCCACCAAGGAGCGTTGAGGAAACCGGCTTGTGACTCACACAGCCCGGGGGTATACGGCGCATCTGGGGCCACACAGCGAGGCCGAGGTGGGAGAGAGAGACACACAGAGAAAGCACAGGCCTGGGGTTCTGCCTTTACTGGGGTCCAGGGTGGACTGCCTAGGGTTTTGTGGGTTCACTGTTTGTTGGCGAATTTAAAATATAAGAGTGGGAATTAAAGTGAGGTCACTCACACAGTCAACTCCCTAGGTCATCCAGAGCTTTCTGGAAAGGGAACTTCAGGGTGGGGCAGCCTGGCTCTTTATCTAGTAGTGTAGTCAGAACTTTGTGTTTATTTGAGATGGATGTCTTTGAAGTGAATGCTTCGGCCGCCAAAAGCTCAATGCCAGGCACTTACATAACAGTGTAGAGAACACATTGTGCTCATCTGTTCATCTGTCGATGGACACTGGTTCATGGTGTGCAATCCTTTTAATAAGATGCTAAATTACGTTTGCTACTATCTTGCTGAGGGACTTTGCATTGTGTGCATAAGGGAGATGAGCATGCAGTGTTCTGATCTTCTCCTGTCTTTGGCTTGGTATCAGGTAAATGCTGGCCTCAGAGTGAGTTAGGAATATGCCCAGCTTTTTAATTTTTGGGGAAAGTTTGAGAAAGATTGGTATTCGTTCTTCTTTAAATGTTTGGTAGCATTCACCAGGGAAGCTATCAGGTCCTGGGCTTCGCTTTGCCAGGTTTTGATCACCGATTCCTTCTCCTTACAAGTTATAGGTCTATTCAGATTATCTACTTTTCATAATTTAGTAGGTTTTGTGTTTTTAGAAATTTGCTACTTCATCTAGGTCATCCAATTTATTGGTGTACAATTGTTCATAGTATTCTCATGATCTGTTTTATTTCTGTAGAATCAGTAGTAATTTACCCACTTTCATTTCTGATTTTCATATTTGAGTCTTCCCTTTTTTCTTAGTTCCTTTAGCTAAAATTTTGTCAATTTTGTTGATCCTTTTGAAGAACCAACTTTTTGTTTCATTGGTTCTCTCCATTTTCTATTCTCTATTTTATATATCTCTGCTCTGATCTTTATTATTTCCTGTCTTCTGCTAGCTTTGGGTTTAGTTTGTTCTTCTTCCAGTTCCTTTTTTTAAATTTAAATTCAATGAATTAAAATATAGTGTATTATTAGCTTCAGAGGTAGAATTCAGTGATTTATCAGTTGCATATAACACGCAGTGCTCATCATCACATCATGTGCCCTCCTTCATGCCCATCCCCCAGTTACCCCATCCCCCCACCCCCCTCCCTTCTGTAAGCCTCAGTTTGTTTCCTGGAATCCAGAGTCTCTCATGGTTTGTCTCCCTCTCTGATGTCTTCCCATTCAGTTTTCCTTCCCTTCCTCTATGGTCCTCCATGCTATGCTTTATGTTCCACATATGAGTGAAACCATATGATAATTGTCTTTCTCTGCTTGACTTATTTCACTTAAGCATAATACCCTCCGGTTCCACCCATGTCGATGCAAATGGCAGATATTCATCCTTTCTGATGGCTGAGTAATATTCCATTGTATATGGTGGTATATATAGACCACCTCTTCTTTCTCCATTCATCTGTTGAAGGGCATCTCAGCTCCTTCCACAGTTTGGCTATTGCAGACATTGCTGCTATGAACATTGGGGTGCAGGTGCCCCTTCAGATCACTACATTTGTATCCTTGGGGTAAATACTTAGTAGTGCAATTGTCAGGTAGCAGGGTAGTTCTATTTTTAACATCTTGAGGAACCTCCATACTGTTTTCCAGAGTGGCTGTACCAACTTGCATTCCCACCAGCAGTGTAGGAGAGTTCCCCTTTCTCCGTGTCCTTACCAGTTCCTTAAGTTGTAAAGTTAGGTTGTTGATTTTGAGATCTTTTTTAATGTAAGCATTTATAGTTATAAATTTCCCCCTTAGCACCATTTTGTGTCCCATAAGTTTTGGTGTGTTGTGTTTTTGTTTTCATTTGTCTTGAAATATTTTACCCATTGATTTCTTCTTTGATCTATTGGTTGTTTAGACATGTGTTGTTTAATTTCCACAATTTTGAAAATTTTCCAATTTTTTTCTGTTACAGATTTCTAACTTCATCCCATCCTCGTTGGAGAAGATACTTTGTATAATATTTATCTTTCAGAATCTATTAAGATTTAATTTGTGGTCTAACATAAGGTCTATCCTGGAAAATGTGCTCTTTGGAAGAACATATATGTGGCTGCTGGGTGGAGTGTTCTGTATGTGTCTGTTAGATGTAGTTGGTTGTGTTGTTTAGGTCCTCTACATCTTTCCTTATCTCCTGACTGGTTGTCCTGTCCACTACCGTGAGTGACATCGAAGTCTCCCAGTTATTACTAGAGAACTGTCTATTTTCCAGTTTTGTGAATTTCTGCTTTGTATATTCTGATGGTCTCTCATTAGGTGTGTAATTGTTTATAATTTTATCTTCTCACTGTAGAGAGCCTTTTATTAACATATAACGCCTTCTTTATCTCTTGTAAACTTGATTTTAAGTGTATTTTGTCTGGTATTAGTGGGACCACCTGCTCTATTTGGGTCACTATTTACATGGAATGTCTTCTCCTACCCTTTCATTTCAACCTGTCTGTGTCTTTGGATCACAAGTGGGTCTCTTATGGGTAGCATATGGCTGGATCTTGTGTTTTCATCCTTTCTACCAGTCTCTGTCTTTTAATTGGAGAGTTTAATCCATTTACATTTAAAGAAATTACTGAAAATGGGTGACTTATTTCAGTCATTTTGCTATTTGATTTCTATGTGCCTTACAGCCTTTTTATCCCTCATTTCCTGCATTCCTGTCTTCTTTTGGGTTTAGTTGATTTTTTTGTGGTGAAATGTTTTAATTCCTTTTTCATTTCCTTTTTGTGTATATACCACACCTATGAAGGGGAGGAAGGACCCTAGCCCTTTAAATCTGTTAAGTCCCTTCAACTGCAGGGGAAGGATCTTGTTACAGTGGGGTGGGGGTGAGGGGAAGGTGCAACAATACTCCCCTCTGTGTCTACACTATGGTGCTCAGAAGCTGCAATTAGTCGTTAAAGCACAGATCCCCAATGTTTGGAGGGCATGGTCCTCTTTGCTCACCTAGGTTCCCTCAATCTGTGTGCAGGCTGCTTCGGGAATGCGTGGCGGGCCAGGCTGGGGCTGGTGCTGGGAAGGTGCTCCTGTGCTAAGAGCTGAAATTGACCAGAATTAACCACAGTTTATTGCCAAGCCATCTCCTGGAATTTGCCAGCCTTCTGCAGACTCCACAGTTCCAAAATAGTTATTCAGACGGATTCTGCCAGTGCAGTTGCTGTCTGGTGTGGAGACAGATTCCTGGTGCTCTCTCTGCCATCTTCCCAGGGTCCTCTCACAACCATTTTTAAAAGAAAAGTTCCCTCTTTTCATAACATTTTCTTCATTCTAAAGGGTGGTAGTAGTACCGGGGCACCTGGGTGGCTCAGTCGGTGAAGTATCTGCCTTCCTCTCAGGTCATGGTCCCAGGGTCCGGGGATTGAGCCCCGCACCGGGCTTCCTGCTCCGTGGGGAACCTGCTTCTCCCTCTCCCACTGCCCCTCCCCCCCACTCATGCTCTCTCTATCACTCTCTCTCTCTGAAATAAATAAATAACATCCTTAAAAAATAAAAATAAAAAACTAAAGGGTACTAGTACTAACCCAGCCTTAGATTTCCTTTGTTTCCCCTTCAAGATGAGCAGTTGCTCCATTTCAGTTGGAAAATGGTGACCAGAAATATTAGGGTGACTGTATTTTACATAAGATATTTTTGGTCTCATGAAGAGGTAGGGCATGTCCCT